TATAGCAAGCACATTTTCTTTTTTAAAATGTCCCTTTTTTCTTGTAATGATAAGCCGGAAACGAAACTACAGTCATAAGTCTTGTGAAATTGATTACAGAAGACGCAGTTCATATTTTCCTCTCTGCATTCGGATTTGTAAACAAATCTGTAGCGGTCGGAATCTTTGGTTTATTATGTCTATTTGAGAGACCATATGCGCTTTTTGCAGGGGGGGAAGAAGACTGTCGCCGATCGGATACTTTTTGCTGTTGCGAAACCGTTGACCTTGTGCGTTCACGGGATGAAAGTTCTGCGGTGTAAAAATGACATTAAATCTTTTATGTTATAATCGGTGCCAACATTTTGTGTTCTATGAAATTCAAACGTTAATTCTGAAGGCAATAACTTCAAAATCATCGGACACAGCAAAGCGCTGTAAGATTCCGATACAACATCTAACGCTTCGAGACATCTAATCTGCGTTTGTACTTTATCATACAAGTTACGAAATGTTTTTATGTCATTCGCATTTTTTAATGATTCAATATTCAGCAAATTATTCATGTGCGCATTAATAAGAATGTCTCTCCTTCCAAAACGGTCGTGTAAGATTTGAATTGCTGAATCATAATGCTTTTGGCGATAACGGAAGTCCTTGAACGCAGCTAGCAGCTGTTCCTCCTAATATGCTTTCAGGTAATTAAATTTGTCTACTTTGTTCAATGATTCGTTATTATGTATTGAGGACTCAAAACTATTTCCAAAAAGTAAGCCATTGACTACTGTTTTCCCATAAAATACGGGAATCGAAAGTTTTGGTAATTTAACATTAGGTGTATCTTTTATATTTTGCTGAGTGTTCGGTGCATTTAAGTCATTATCCTGACCGAAACTTAAATCTTCGTAGGGTCATGATTAATTTCTTAATCCGTTTCCGTTAAGCCTGAATTTCCATAACGTTATCTTCTCGCGATATTGTTCTGTAATTTCGAATTCATTTTCGAATTCACACTCAGAATTGGTTCAACTTCTACATCGGCATTAGCTAGTGTTTCGGCTTTAGCATTAAGCTGTTCTAACAATTCTTCGAGCTCATTAATACTACCTTCAGATTTATTTAATTCACTTTCGATTTTCTTAAATAGTTTTGTAACGGCAGTTCTTAAGATACTTCTTTTCTTTTTTAATTTATCTACTTCAGCCATTATCTTTCTTAGATTCAAACACTTACACAAAAAATATACGTCTCATGAAAAACAAATATTTAACTCTTACTTAGAAAACAAAATTATTCTTTTGCTGAATACTTCAAGAACAAGTATTAAAATCTTCAATTTTAATATTCAGCTTTTGAATTCACTTTATTAGAACTTTTCAAAAAACCTGGCGTCCCTGCTCGGGCGCTATAAAAATGTTGCATCAGGTTCTTCTATTTACAATAAAATTAATGTAAAATTCCTTACCTGCTCCATCTTCAGTGTTCACGACGCCAGGCTTCTAATAATCACGTTTTCAGTAAGAGTTTCTATTACTGCAACAAGCCATCTTGTCTTTTAATTATTTATTGAAATAAAAAGCTAATATACACTATTTACAAGGTAGGTGATAATTATTTTAAGACAGTACATTTTTAACTCTGAGTCTTTACGCTCCTCAAAGCGGTTCCAATCTCGACCGCTTCTCGGAACTTAATTACAGCAAAAGTAAAGGAAGTGATGCCCGCCACCTAGTGGCAAGAATGTGACACCTAAGATTGTATATACACAATATTGGGTGGAATTAAAATTTTAATTGCTTTATTACATTATGTATATTTCTAAATTTCTCGGTACTCGAAGTAAAACAGTGGGGAGTAGAAAAGTTAGTCAAGGGCCTCATGTGGCTGAGAGGCCGCTGGCTTGTCTTGCCTGATCTACACCATCTAGTTTACTTCTTTGATTGCGCAATACTGGAATGTATATGACAATGACTTCACATGTTTTCCACGTGTATTTTATCATTTTATATACATTTAAAAGTTTTTTTGCACAGCCTGTCCCTACATATTTCCCAATACAGATATTTCAGCTAGACGACGTTTTCTGCCCTTATCCTAGACGATGTCTACGCATGATTTACTAAAAGCGTTTGAACAAGGAATGGATGGCAAGTAAATGTCCACCATCTGTCAATTGACTTTAATTTGACGAGAACGGTCAGAGAATGTGTTTCTGGAATGAAGCCACGTAATGCTAACAATATGCGTGAAAAGATTAAAGCTGCCATAGAAATTGTACCATTAGGCATGTACACCCTGATCTGCAGGCTACATGTACAATAACAGTAAACACGGGAAGAACATGTTTAGACATTGCCATATAAATTTATTCAATACTGTTCAATTTAGAAAGTAAACATGTGTTAACTTTTTTTTCTCGTAACCTATGTTGAAAATTTGAAATCTGTCTGACTTCAGAGTGAATGACTTCGGTTCCTGAAAATGACTTGTGTTTTACGTTTGATTACTTGCTAGTGAGTTATGTCGATGTCTGGAGAAGCTGCATATTTCGGGTTACACTTTTCATTTTTGACATCGCAATTTACATGTTCCTTCCCAAACAGAATCCTATTTCTTTTATTTCAGAATTGTTGATATCAATTTTATTTGTATATGGAGGCCCATATGTGCTCTGGTAGAGTGTTTACTGTTGTAGACAGTTAGTGAAGGTGGGGAGATATCAGCTAATCACTAATGAGATCCAAATATTCTCTGCATTTTATATCTCTAACTAAACCTAGGGCTAATAAAATGCTACTTAGCTAAATGTAAATAATGTTTTTAAAACTTTTTAAAGGTAACTATGACATTTTGTGCGATTTCATGGTTTCTTAGTATCTAGATTTTTCTTTCTGTAACTTGAGCCTTTATATTTCGAAGAAAATGCGGATGTAGGATTACTCTATTAAAATATATCGAATTACGTAATAGCTTTTATTTCATCCCATTTATATAAATAGTCTTGTTAGAGCCAATTTTATTTCAGTTTTTATTTAAAATTCATAGCAGTAAGCAATCAAAAATAAATTCGCTTTAAAATTCTGATTAATCTTGAGAAATTTTAATTTTATATGAGAGATTTGAACCTGGTTAACGTTTCTAATTTCTGCTTGAATAGATAAAGTTGTTAATTAGGAACCAATTTACCGAACTAAAAACTTGAAACTCCTTAGCGGTAAAGATTTCTTTCGAAAGAAAGCTTATCTCAAACCGGAAACTCCTTAGCGGTAAAGATTTCTTTCGAAAGAAAGCTTATCTCAAACCGGAAAACCTTAAAAATATGAAACCTAACTATTCGAAACATTAATAAGTTAACTACAAATTGCTCTTTTTAATGCTTGAAACTTTAATTAAGCGAAAATGTTTTGAGTTATAACATGACTACCTGCTTTCATTCGACAGATCAAAGCCGACAGCTATGAAAAAAGTAAACCTGAATTACGTCTGAGAGTTCGTTTCTATGGAGACTGATTTACGTATAAAATGATTATATGTATTCACGTTCAGTGTTTCTTATTCGTTTTAAATAATACCGTAAAAAATTTGTAATGTTAAGAATTTCTTTGGACTCTCTCCAGGAATCGAACCCAGGTTTTAATTTAAACTGACTAATATTCTGACCGTTAATTCTTTGTGTGTTTTATCTGAGGAATTTTGGAAACATATGGCTCTTAGTTCAACACTATGAGCTGGTAAGGAATTACCGTCTGATATTTGTATTTCGGAAGCTGCTTTTGGTTTATGTCTTTTGCAGTATTTTCTTTGATAATCGAGTGCTGGGCTTATATCTATCAAATGTATATATTGACAGTTACGTTGAAATACCACGTGCGAGGAATATTTTTTTAATTCCTTGCAACATAAACTTTTTCCTAGTGCTTAGCTTTCTTTACCAAATTAGCATAATTGTACAAGATTTAATTTCTGTATAGTTTCGTAAGTTTTTCTAGGATTCATGCTCAAAGATTATAAATCTTAAAGGTGTCTCTTTCACTGAAGTGTTTAAGTTACTTGTTTGTGTTTATAGCTACCTTTAGAATTTACTCAATTAGCAGCTAGGCGATTTGTGCTTCGTTGGTATTGCTGTTTTTTCATACCATGTATTCTGAAAAACATAATGCATCCTTCACTGGCGTCATAACAAAATGTGGTGAATAGTAATTCACCACCATCTGAATTCAATTGACTGGATTTCCTACGATTCTCCAGTAGTGTTTCAAATGACGGAGAGTTTAAATAAGTATTGCACACCCAATATAATCTTTGGTAGGGGTAAAGGATAGCATTTGGAAGGTCCATAGTTCAAATCCTGACTTAGGCATTGTTGATTTTTTACGTTTTCTTCTTCGAAATACCTAAATGAAGATACAAGGGTAACAGGGTCGAACTATGTGATTTTCTATAATTTCTTCGTATTTAATTAGTTGCACGCATGTTTAAGTATAAACATTCTTTTTTATTTCTAGTATATACAGCTTTTAAATATGTTGTTGCAAATTTTAAAGGAATCAAATAATGGGCTACGAGAATCGGTATATCATTAACGCTATTCTCATTTCTTATTATTATGCCGATTTTCGATGCTCATTAAAAATTCCTTTAAAATTTGTTCATCGTCATGTTCTTATTCTTATAAGTTGTTACATATTTTTTTTCTTACATGTTACCTACATTATTTTATGTGGGATACTTTTCGAATGTTTATGAAAATGTTTCGTTTTCTATGATATTTTCCACATTTCTAAATGATTATAGGATATTCATAATTATTTTGTCTGATATTGCTGGCTTCGTTTCGGCCTCATATTTGGCCTGATTATGAATTTTCTAAAACTGGTTTCTGGTTGCAGAAAATAAGATGCTCGAATGTTTAATTTGCGTACGTTTGCATAATATTGTTATGTAATTTAGATTATTTCTCAGAATTTTTATTTTAAATAATTTTCTCTATCACTTTAGGCGTGGAGATAACGCGGCTATCAATGCCTCGGTGGGTTCAGAATGGTACTGAAGATTCAATAGTCCTGGACTGTGAATATGACTATACTGAGGAGGACTATCGCCTCGTGGTGAAGTGGTTCCTGAATGACGACCCTCAACCTATTTACCAGTGGATCCCTGAACTGAACCTGAGGTCCGCATCTTCCCGGCTTCAGGGTAGACTAAACATGGACTATACTGTGTCGCCGTCCAGCAAAAACACCCGGTACAGGGCTCTCAACATCTTGAGGCCGACGACCGAACTTAGCGGCAGGTACTCCTGCCATGTCGTCTCAATGAAGAATCAAGACGCGGAGGAACAAGTCATGGTCGTCTATGGTAAGAAATACTATATTTCTGTTTTTGCCATTTATAAAAATACGCACATACAGACACATACACTAGTACCTGGTACTTAATGCACATACACACATTGGACATAGCCCTAAATATAAACGTTTGCGGACTGTTTCAGACAAGAAATATCATAGTTGTGGATAGACTGCATTGATCACTTTGTAAGGTACTTTTCTTCTTATTGCCTGCCTTTGGGGAGTAATTAGAAGCATGTCCGACTTGCAATCAGGAAGTCAGGTATTCGAATCCCATTGTGTTCTTTGCTCATTTTTCAAGTTTCCTGCTCCAATAGATAAATAATTGCTCTAAAAGTGTCTCCAGTGGGGAGTGGGAAGAATGTAAGTCATTTTTCTTAATCCGGAGGTTTAGACCTGGTGAGGGCTTTGCACACTTTTCATGTATTTTTATGTCACATTTTTCATAAATGCCTAATTACTTTAAAATCTAGCCAAAAGAGATTGACTTGGGGTGGCAGTAGAGGAGAAGAAAAAGTGTAAATGTTTCCATGCATTTGTGCATTTAAATGAAAGCATAACATTATGAACTGCAGTGTATATGCCAGCTCGGGAGAACATTGGAACTCTACAGGAAAAAATAATAGGTGAGAAAAATAAATATGTACAATACAAACCTTGTAAATTTAAGTAAAATACAATAATATCAGTGAATAAATGCACAACAATTTACATCACTATATACATGGCAGAAAAAGTTTGCTAAATGAGGAAGTTTTACTTCCGAAGGATTGGTTGCGGAGGCACATGATTGGTATCACGAACATTATTCTCTGAATGCTAGCCAACGCATCTGCTCTAGCAATTTCAAAAATTTTGACAGTTTAGTTTAATTTAAACAATATAATGTTGAAGGTGCATGAATGTCTAGCAAATGGCATGTTCAGATGACTTCAGACGTCTTCAACTCCAACTGTTAGAAACATTATGATTCAAAAGAATATATTTTTACTTAAAGTTGTAAATTAACTATTAAGCAAGTAGTGCAAGTAACGTTATTACGTGAAGTTACTTGCCATTTAATACGTTATTACAGTGCGTATTTTAGTTTAAAAATGAGTACATTGGTTGATTGAAATAGAAGCTAGTACGTTTCTGCCTATATAGCTTTTCTTCAGCTATTATTTAAAAAATTCTAGGGTTCTAAGGCATAAAATCCTTTTTGGTCATTCCAGCTAAATAAAAGTTACCGTGTTTTCAGGAACTTCATTGCATCAGCGTAAACATGTTGCGCACTGCGTGTGGCTTTACATACCATTCAAAGATTTGAAAAACTTTTCTTAAGGAAGTATAAAGAAAGCGAACTCAATCAAGATGTCTAATAAAAATGATTGAATTTTATTTAGCATTCCTCATAAAAGTTTTAACCTGTTGATAGAAGTGCTGAGAAATGTTTGGAACTTGAATCGTATCTTGAAGCACATATGCATGTTGACTGTCTAGGAAAAATGCCTTATTACAAGAAGGAATGCGAGAAAACATGCTTTAATGACAGAAATTTTTGCAAAGATTTGATTTTAAAGTTATGGTTATACTGAAGCAACATGTCAGAAGAACTGAATCATTGGCAAATAAAAAATATTAAATGTTTATGACTAAATAATTATGCCTGATTTCGTTAATACTGAGATAAAAAATGCAATTCGGAAGAAAAAAAAAAAAAAAAAAAAAAAATGTGACACTGAATTTGTGTGCCATCGGCGATTCAGCAGTTTTCAGTTATTTTGGTTTCATGCTTCAGCCACTGCTGTCGAACCTCTGGATACGTCTGAGCGATTAATTACACGGAAAGACAGTCAATTTTAGAATATTAGACTTTAGTTAGATGTGACCATAGATTTCGGCCCCATCTGGACAAGCCAAAGAAACACACTTTAATTCTATGTTATTTTTTACTTTCTAGGGCAATGTTTCTCAATCGATTTTGTTTCATTACATTCTTTCTGAGATTATTTATGCTCTGTGATTTATTCAGAATTAATTAGTACTTTTCTATTCTTGCAAAAACCATACGCCCTTTAAATGTGATCTGTTCGAATTTATTGAAATAAGATTTTTAGGTATTTATTGCAATTGTATTGCACCACGGTATTATTTTAAATTCATGACGCAATACAGAATGTAATTTGAGGAAATAGTTTCAAGACACTGGATTTATATCGAGAAGACTTGGGCAAGGTCAACCAAAATACACAGATATGAGTGAGAATCGTTATTTGGCACTCTTAGAGCGGTGACACAGGACCTGCTACAGCTTCACAGCTTCCACATGAGCTGTATGCTACCATTGGAACCCTAGTTTCAAGGTCTTCAGTTGCAGCTTTTAAAAATTTGTATAAATATTTACTATTAAACATCCTAGATTAGACTCTTTCGAGGCAAACATTTCTGAAAATGGTCTATATTTATAACATAAATTTATAGTAATCTTTTACGCTATAAAACTGTTACCTCCACAAAAAATTAAAATTTTCTGGAAGTCATAGAGAGTAATCACTGTTCTATAATATATTTTATTTCATATGTTAGATTAATTTTAAAATGAAATATTTTAGAACTGATATAAACAGTCTAAGCAAAACAGCGTTAAAACTTTAGAAATTAAGACATGAATTTATCTTCATAATTGCAATAACTATCTCGTTGTATCTATAAATAATATAATATATGTATCAAAGACATTCTTTACGCTTTTTTCTTTATTAAGCATTTAAAAAAGTTTAATATTAACTGCGAAATACATCATTTTTTATTTATCAATTTAGAATATGCATTAATAAATTTTCTCTCTGCCAAGCTAACAAATTCTGCTTAGGTAGGGAAGATATTATATATAATATGAACAAGATAGGTAATAATGATAAATATAATTTCAAAAATCAATACTGAAAGTATTGTAATAAAATCTGTGCATTCGAATTATTTGTATTCTTTGTAAAGGACAATGTAAAAAAAAATCTTTGACATGATGGAAAAAAGACCGTATTATTATCATTGGTCCTTAAAAAGTTCTCTTTGAAATCACGGAGCAAAGATTTTATTGTATTATTGACAGTTAGGTGAATTCCGAAAAAAAGTAGAAAAAGTAGTAATAAAAGGAAAAATATTGCAAAAGCTTATCATGTGAACAAACGTAACTATGATGTCCCCAAAATTAAGTGATTTCTGGCGACATCTGCAACTTTTCGGTTCTTTTCCAGATATCTGGCAGCTCTTCAGTAGTATCGGTAGTATCGAAAGAATTGGCTCAATGAAACGTTAATTCTCTATCCTGATTTCTTTCAATTGTGGTTTTAAATCTTCCTAAAATCTCCTTTGTGTATAAAACTAACGATAAAATTTTAGAATGAAAAATTTTTCGAAAAGTTGGAAAACGACAAAAATTAAACTCACTTATAACATGGAAGGGTAAACATTCTATTCCTTAAAATTGGAAGCAAGCATTCTTGGCACACGTTCAAAAAGAAGTCTTGCTGGATGAACTCTAAAAAAGCTCTCTCTCTTTTTTGATGAATCATGCGTTCACTCGCTCAATAAAATGAACCAGTTCTTTGAATCAGTTCGGAATGGAATATTATATCTCTATATAGAATGGCGAAAACTGGACGTTAAGTTTGATACGATTAAATATTTAGCTCGTTTTCTAGACATTCTACGCAATGCTAAAAGATAAATCGGAAAAATTTAGAATACATCAACTAAGGATGTTTCTAATGTCACGTGGGAAAGCACAGTAATTTCCACGCTAGTCTCAGATGGAGAATTTACTATTTGCTTTATAGTCTTGTTTGAAAATGACGAAATTAACTATTTTTAATTTATTATTCAAAGAATACGCCCGTACTGTTCTGTATGACAATAAAAGTACGAGGTAAATTGTTCGAGAAGCAATCACGGTATCTTGACATGCAGGGACGATTCTACGCAGCGACGTCTTTTCATTTCTTTCGTTTTTAATGAACGTCTTTTCATGACTAACATTTATTATTTTGCCTAAATATCATTTATCATTCTACAGAATGCATGACTTTTCAATAAAAGCCTTTTCACCACTCTCTTTTAATACCTTGCCCAAACTGCATCTGTCAATCGATACAATGCCCACGTGTTACATAAAATGCCTAAAGAATGTATATAATATTAAAATAATTTGGATATTTCATACTTTTCTCTAAAATGCCAAGCACTTTCTGTATTGCCTAGACATTGTATACAATAACTGCTTTTCATGCATTGCTTGTGACATATATATGTAAGTAGATGGGGAGGTCTAATTAAAATTGTCTGGAAATCTTATAGAGTAATCACTATAATATATTTTATTTCAAATGTTAGAATAACTTTAAAGTGAAATTATTATAAATGATTAATTTTTAGAACTGATATATACTATCTAAGCAAAAAAAGTTTAAACTTTAGAAGTTAAGACACGAATGTCTGTTCATAATTGGAATAATTATCTCATTGCATCTATAAAACTCAAAGACATCATTCTTTACGCTTTTTACATTATTAAAAATTCTGAAAAAGATTAAATGTTAACTGTAAAAGACATTTATTTATTTATTTATTTAGCGTATGATGAAAGTAATGATTCAACTAAAATTTTTCTTATTCTTAAGGCATTGTCTGTTTATATGAGTATAGCAACTAATTGAATGTTATTTAGAAATTCATTTGTAAATTAACAGATTTCAAGTACATGTAATATTTTAAATTTATGGAATTTAGACTTGTATTTTCTAAGAAGCTATTTAAAAATCCGTATGAAAGCATTTGTTTTACTGTGAAATAATAACTTTGAAGGAGAATTTCTTTTCGAGAGATATTGAAATTTGAGTTTCTTACTCCGAGCTAAAACAGAGTCTTAAAAATTACTTTCAAAAGAATGTTTGCTTTCAATTACCTTTCATGTTTGCTTTGTGTGAAATCACATTATAGAGATTCCAAATCTGCAGGTGACCTCAT